CCCCAAAACCCCAAAACCCCAAAACCCCAAAACCTACATTAAAGATAGACTATTACTAATTTGTGAAATTATATTTTTCCATTAAAATGGATTAAAAAATGAATAAAAGATTTCAATCTCTTTCTAAGTACTTGATTCTAAACATAATGGAATATCTTAATCCGTTTGAAATTTAATCCTATGCATAGATGAGCAAAAGATTCAAGCAATTTGTTTAAGAAGATGAATAGTTTCTACTAGTTTAAGATGTCTTATTTCAAAGAGCATTTAGACTCACAAGATAAAAAGACTAAGAATTCGTGAAATTGCTATTATCTACAGAAGTAATTGAAAAATATGCATACTTACATCAGTAAATAAATCACCTTATAAAGAATGATATGCGAATTGAATGAAATGGCATTTGGTTTTGTACATATTACCTGGAGGGCGAGAAATATAGCCTCAATATTGATGAGTTTTAAAAGTAAAATCTATACACTAGAACATTTAAGTTTCCTTATTTCGTCTCATTAATGGGTATTGATACTTATCAATAGAGCATTTTTGATAATAAGTTCTGTGATGAAAATGTATTTAAATAGAGAAATTTGAAACTCATGGATTCCAAATATAACTTAAATAGCAAAATTAGTTTGTTTTCAGATATTGAATTGCAAGAGCAAAACATTAATCCTCTTAATGTAGCTCTGATAAAAATAGTCACAATAACAAAAAAGAAAACTACGATAGCAAAGGATAAAAGCGTGTTGCTTTTTACATCATTAAAGCCAATATCAGATCTTGACAAGAAATACATCGCTTATTTAACATAATAAGTTGAGGCATTTGGAGACAATGCTCTTGAATAATATCAATTAATTTAGAGATTCAAAAGTTAGATGTTTGAAAGTGTTTATGAATTTTATGAGACAAATGCCTAAAAAATAATTTAAGCTAAGGATTAAAATGGAATAGAATTCGATTTTGATTAAATAGATGTGAGACCTTTGCTATATATAAAGTTGTATGGCCAATATTAAGAAGCTAGAGTGAGATTAATTCAGCCAGTTTTTGCAAAATACATCGTGGCAAAAATAATAGTAGATAAAGATTCGGGATTGAATGAGAGAGTAAAGCATCTCAATTAACTTAGAGCCGATAAGGAACTTGATTAGTATAATTTCACGTTTAGAGGTTATATATTTGATCCTAAATGATATAAATATATTTATTTACTTAGTATAACACTGATAGTTATAGAATATTTTTATCTTGGGGTTTTGGGGTTTTGGGG